AAAGGTCTGCACAAAAACATACCACATATTCCTCAGACCAAAATAAGTCGATTTGAGTAAAATTACCTTTGAACAAAAGTTGCATCGTTTGGGCTCCAGAGGGCCTTGAAGTCACAATTTTTAAATCGTTTTTTCCATATAAATTTAAAACGGCATATGCGATTTTGCTGAAATTTGGTATATTGATAGAGTTTTATGTGGCAAAAAAATGGTGTTAAATTTTTGTCTGATATTAATCCATAGGCGTAGAACTTGATTTTTTTCAATAATTGCACCTTTAACAATTCTACGCCAATGGAATAAAAGGAGTTTGAGTATTAAATTTAGATTGTGCAACTCATTTACTTTGAAAAAGGTACTCTTGATAAGACTCGATTACTCTCATGGCTTTCGCTAAATTTATGTTTTAATAATTTAGGGTGTTATAGGTTTCACGGAAATATTTATTTACAACATAATCAAAATCAATAGAGATTTCACAAAAATTGTTCAAAATGTTCACCATTTTCACGCATACAAAGATTTATACGTCGAAGGAAATTAATTATAATACATAGGCGTAGAACTTGATTTTTTAAATAATCGCACCTTTAAAAATTCTACGCCAATGGCAGAAAAGGGGTTTGAGTATGGAATTTGTATTGGGTACTCATTTACTACAAAAAAGTACCCTTGATAACACCCGATTTACTCTCATGGTTTTGACAAAGTTTGTATTTCAATAATTATTGTTTATGTTCTAAAATTACTAAAATGCAAATTTCGTCAAAACCATGAGGGCAATCGAGTCTTATCAAGAGTAGCTTTTTCAAAGTAAATGAGTTGCGCGCAATCTAAATTTTATACTCAAACTTCTTTTCTTTCATTGGCGTAGAATTTTTAAAGGTGCAAATATTTAAAAAATCAAGTTCTAAAACTCTATCAATATATGAAATTTCAGCAAAATCGCATATGCCATTTTAAATTTATATGGGAAAAATGATTTAAAAATTGTAACTTCAAGGCCCTCTGGAGCCCAAACGATGCAACTTTGTACTGCGGTAATTTTACTTAAATCGACTTATTTTGGTCTAAAAGGAATATGTGGTATGTTTTTGTAAAGACCTTTTACAGACACCCTGTAGAGTGTCAAAGTTGAATTCTTATATTTTTGTTTTTTGTTAATAAATCTCAAAATAAATTGTGATACTCCAATGAAGTTTGGTATCTACGGGTATTTTTCAATGACAATATCAAATTTTATCCTTATTTCATGTATAAGTTTGTCTCTTTCGTGGGGGTGGCGCCACCTAAATGTCTTTTGAGTCTTCTGAAGTCATAACGTCATAACTTGTACCTGTATTACGTTTTCTAGTAGAAACATAATTATATTCCTAGAACACTTCTGTGTAAAAAATATATTCCTGGTTGAGATCGCTGATGCGAGCAACTGTTTTCGAGTTATTGGGATTTGAAATAATCAATGCAGGTAATTTGGAATGACAAGAAGTTGAAATTCAAAATTGATTTTTGAAGTAAGAAAAATTATTTTTTTTAATTTATGTAATAGTATGTGTATGATCCCATTTTGCTTTATTTTGTCACCAAAGTTCGCACAAAACTATCGAATACGCATTAGTGCATAAATATATTTACACCAATCTTGCGTGCATCTATCTAGATATTCTAGAATATAGATCCTAGAACGTGAATAATAATTCACTGAATTCACAAAGGGTGCGACCTCTTGTGGTAAGAGTTGGAACTGCTAGAATACCAACATGGTACAACATGCCACATATGTGATTTTCCTGTTATTTCTAGATGTTCTGGACCAAGTTCATGCATATTCATCATTCAAATCAGCAATTTCGTGAAAAAATATTCATATCAAACATCAAATATGTTTGCTGTTCTCTCGCAGTCCTCTAAAAATCATCATCGGCCAAAACAAGGAATGCACATGAGAAATGTCGGTTAAATGAGTAGAAATCTATCCGTCTGTAGACTAATAAATATATGGCAATAAAGATTCCTCTCAATTTGGCCGACAATGACGACATTGATTCAATGCTGAACCCACAGATGGCTCATATATCCACTGAACTTGCAAGCGTTTCGGACCATCCTGCAGATGGTTATTGGTTAGTGGCAGTGGCACAGAATACCGAGTATTCTGTGGCAGTGGGTAACTTATCTCTGGCTGTGGGGTTCGAATCCGGCTGCAGAGTTTTCTGTTTTCCAGGATCGATCGCATGTAATCTTCCCGGAACTAGATTTCTGCAATTTTCCATATATCCCTGTACAGTTCTCCACTCCTCCCCGAACTGGAGTAGTTCGTAGGGTAGAGGGCCGCTTTCTAGCGATCTAAAGCGGCATTCACAACCAAACCTTTTACGTTCTGCTTTTTACGTTTCGTATTCTGATTGGTGAAGCAAAATCTGTGATTGAAATGACGCAAAAAGCTGAAAATGTTCAGCTTTTTGCGTTGCAAGGAGCCATTGTCTGTGAAAATAGTAAAAATAGACTAATGATATTGTTATAAAAATGGAAAATACAACAATCCTCTAAAATCTCCCTCAAGAATCTCAAAAATGCTTCATTATTTTTTGTTTCCAATTAAATCATAACAGAAGAACTGAAATCAAAGAACAATTCTCAAAATGTGTCTAATTGATACCTACGCATTATATAACAACAGCTCTATGGATTTCCATCAACATTTCAGCAGAATTTTGCAACAGTTCGATGGTTTCTTCGATTCATGTTGGATGAATGTTGGAATGGAAAAAAAACTCATAATGTGGATGATTTTATTTGACGTGAGCTCCATAATTTTTTATCAATTCTATATTTTTTTCAGGTTGAACGTTTAGAATACAGTCATATCACTTATAAAATTGGGATGATTCAATCCGATTCCTTTCTAGAGAATGATTATGTTTTTTTTTATGATTTTCAAACGGGAAAAGAAAATGACGCCACTGACGCAAGGCCACGCTAAATATTTAATCGTCTCGGAGTAGGAATGTAGGGGGTAGTAGGCTTCATTAGGACAGGCTATGAATGTAGTGGTTTTATTATTTGTACATTGAAATTTCTCGAAAAGAAATGGATCCTAGACGAAAATATAATTGAATCAATGAATCACTATCGGCCTCATTGAAAATGATACTTTTTCTTCATTCCTTCCTTCCTCATTTCCTTCACTGTCATCAGGAGGTCAGAACAGAATGAAGCCGACACCCCATGGCCCCCACGTCGGCCATATCACATCCGACAATCATAGGTTTGTTCGTGTTCCAAATTGTTGAAACGGTCCTTGGACTGCGTAGAATCAGGTGCGCATCAAATTCAATCCGGAACAAGTTTGAGATAGTTTTGAATCCCGATAAACGGAAACGCGTTTTCCTGGTTTTCCCATCTTCTTTCCCGAAAATATGCTCTGTTTGTCTTGACTCACGTGAATCGAGGCATATTCAGGTTGGGGTTATGTTGATGTTATCATAAAATAATCCTTAAATTCAGGACCTGAACATAAACCTTCCCACTAAAACATTCCTACACTTATTCATAAATCAGAAATCGTCCCATCTGAGTACAGATTCGTTCAAAACTCTCCAAATCCACCATTTTCCAGATTGGTTTTCAGGATTTCCAACAGATAACATGGTCAAAAACGTTTGTTATCCAGTCAGGGTTCGAAGCCCAAAACACTGCAGCCTTTGGACCTATTGTATTCCTGATCATGCTGTTGACTCAGGTGAACAGGTTCGTTACCATGATGAGGTTTAGCAGCCTCTTCACCTTCACCTCTTCGTTGGAAAACCTCGTGTGAGTTTAGTGCTCTTAGTGCCTTTCACTCCAATATTACATGAGAGGCAGTTTCATCCTCCTCATTACATAGTCTGTATATAGGCTCGTCTGTATAGATGCCCATTTTATGCAAATGCTTCCTCAAGGGGCAGTGACCGGTTATATATTAGTCCCGTCACTCGTCTGATCTGAATTCTTTTTATAGGTTCAGAATGTCGCTAGTCACTGTTCTGGATATTGTTCTAACCATCAGTTTGGTGTGTCTTTGTCCTGGAACATTGTTCCAGTATGCCTGATGCGTCCACTTTGCCAGCCAGCCGTTTATTGGGATTTTGGGGATTCCGGACACACGTTCCGGTGCATAGCAATTCAATTCCCTTTTTCCCTGGTACCTATTGACCATTGACCAACCAATTCGTTGTGGTTAGCCAGGGTTAGCAGGCTTTGAAGGCAATCCCAGACCAGTCTTCTGATCTGATTTTATTGCATGTTGAATATTAGATGACCGCCTGACTATATGAGCATATGAGAATTTGTTTACCTTTGAATCCTCTCATGATATTCTCATCCAGGCATGCCTCAATAACATGCACCTCTGCCTGGAATAACTCCCCAAGAAAGCGCAAATCCAAAAACTTCATCCCAAATCCTCAAGTTGAAAAATCTCGATTTTGAACATGTTATATCTCTGTAATCATTCCCGCTTGACAACAAGTGTGATACATTGATGAAAGCAGCTCTTCAGGGGGAATCTAAAAATGCAATGAAATACAGGGTGCTCTATTTGGAAATCGAGAGTTGATGCCCGTTACGCTTCAAGATTTCAACTTTGAAACATGATAATTGCAGAAAAATGTGTTCCCCGCCAAATTGAAATCGACCTGTCCGAGCGATTTTCAATTTTTTTCAATGACATCGCGGAGATTAGGGGGGTGACAAATTTTAGCTGGGGCACACGTGTCTCTATAGACAATTCATTTACTTATTTATTTTTATTGTTATTACATTGTTAAGAAAGGATACAGACATTCTCATTAGTTCAAAAATGCTTATGCACCGAAAGTCATGGTTGTTTGAATTCTTGCTGATCATCGTCGTGAAAATTCTTCCTTTTGCTTATGACATACGAAATTGTCTGACATAATGACATTCCTTTGTGACTTTTGACAATTTGATATTTATAATCAGGAAAAATTATAATCCTCATTCCTCAACCGAAAGTACATTAAAGAAGTACAGATTATTATTAATATTAATAAACCTCGGAAAGTTGTAAAGTTATGTGTTAAGTGAACGAATAAATTACCGTCTGATCTGAAAATGTGAAATAGGACTCCTTGAAAATAATTTTATCGAGCAGTTTTAGTGAGATAGCTTTTGAAACAAATTTTTATTTTTGATAAACTTCCAACATGAATAAGTTCTCATCATTCATCGAACTCTTGGTTAAGCAAACCTGTCGTAGAGCTTCACATGAATTTGAAATGGGATCCAAGCATTCTTCAGCTCCTCTTCCAATTATATCTGAACATGATGCTACAGGAATATATTCCCTGCAGTTTCTGAAATCATTACATGACAAACCAAAAGATAATATTTACAAATTGTTGAAGGTATGAATAATATAATCAGAGTCTATGGTTTCAATATTGCAATGGGTAATAACTAATATAATTTCAGTCTCCAGATGATCTGAATAGTAAACAGTCACCTAATGGCTTGAACTGGCTAAACAGTAGTGAGTTCTCTGACATTGAAAGAAAAACGCTGTTGGAATTCCTGAAGAAAGTGAAAAACATGTCTCCATCAAAAGCACAAAATTGGATTGATTTACATCATTATATGCATTATACTTACAGGAACTTTGTCAATCCAAATCCGGATCCTTCAGCAGAGAAACTTTCACCTTTTTTTAATGCAGAAATGAAGGAATTAGTCAGAAGGTTGGTATTATAGGATATTTCAAAGATAATTTCTTCCTGGGGCCAAATATACCATTAAAAACCAAGTTATAAACTAGCTTTGATACTTGGATATCAAATTTTTAGAAAATACACTGAAATGTCTGGACTAATGCATAATATATCTTCATCATGTTTTAATGCAGCACCCCATTGATAGTAAATTATGTTTAGTTGTATGATGAATTGATGATCATCATACAGGGCATGGAAAAAAATTCTGACTTGCCCAAACCCAATCAGGAATCTGTGATTGGAGATCTGAAAGAGAATGCAAATTCTCAACTGCAGATCATTTTGTTTTCAAATTCTTATTCTGTGCATTCAATAAGTGTAATTTAATGTTTATCATGATATATAGCCAGGAAAGTAGTTGTATTCTGTTGAATTTACTGAGAAAAAATTATTATTGTTATCAGAAAAATAATGGATTCTCAATATACTTGTTGAGAAATGTATTAGAATATTTCCTGAATATTTAAATACTCTTGTATATTATAATAAGTTGAACTTCACGAAACTATTTTTCTCTGGCAACTTGATCCAAAATCAACCATTTTCTCACTCATATCACTCTATATTGAAAATTTAAAAAATGAATATCAGGATGATGAATTTCATGATTTTCTATTGATTTAAGCAATATGGGTGTGAGGGGTAATTTCCTGCCAAACAGGAAGTGACAGAAAACAATTAAATAAGTCAAAAATGCATATTTCTGTACTATATTTATTTATCTGTAGAAACGAGAATGTTTTAGGAGTGAGCCACTTTTGAAAAACCCTTATATGCACTTATTGAATAATTCTTTGTTCATAGTATCTACCTAGCTCTGACATTTGGTAGATTTGTATAACCTAGTACATGAGTTATCTCAATGATTTCATCAAATCAATAAGTTTATCCCTAATAATAAGATGATTCATATATCCAACATGCATCTGTTCAGATAACTATTCTTTACAAATACAGTTAACAAGTGTACAGCACATCTATTTTGGTTGAGTTTGCCATCAGCCTGCCAGGTTTCTCTGTTTTTATTGAAGATAGAGCTTTGCGGTTTTCACGTTCCTGTCCTATTTTTTTGTGGTTCGAGATGGGCTCATCAGCTATTTTCTATAGCTGTTTCCGTTCATAAGATACAGGTCGATTTTGAAAATTTATATTTTTGGACCCCTTCTATATCTACATAAGTTATGAGGAATAATGTACTGCTGAGCATAAACATTTTTTTTCTTGGTTCTGTTTTGAAGATAGGACACGAACTTATATATTTTTCAGTGAAACATCCAGTATATTTTTATTTCCTTAAAATCGCTATTTCTCATCTTCTAAATAATGTATATATAATACTTTAAATTAATTATGTATTATTATCTCCATTCTTATTCATTTGTTGATTTTAGGTGCATATATTTTTTTTCTGTCTTATCTCTATTAAAAAACATAACAAATGCGAATTCTTCAAATTATACTTTATTTATATGAGAAATTCACAGCCCACTAGCAAAATTTCACAATAATTTGATGTTTTAGTGTTTTTTAGCATTTTTGGAGTTCTAATGTAACAATATCTATATCCTTCTAAAGGAACAAAATAACGAATTCAACTAAATAATGAAATACTAGGTGTTCCATTTGAAAATATATAAGTTTGTGTGTTATATCCAAAACCAAACCCTGAAACAATTTTTGAGTACCCCACTGATTCTGTCTTTCCTCGGTCTTTTCATATTTTCATTTAAGGAATTAGACCTTGCATTTTCGTGAAATATTGATGAATCACTCTGTATACTTCCCCCTCATGGTCTTCCTGAAAATTTCTTAGAAAAGCCTAGAAATGTAAATACACAAAATATACCTACTTTATCAGACTACCAGGTAGCGGCGTGGTAGAAGCTTTAGTAACTCAATCGGGATGGCCCATGAAAGTATTTGGTATCACACGTTAAATCGTGAGGTCACTGTCGTTCTTTGCTTGCACAAGTATCTTGAAAACTTCTGAAGGTTGCTCGAAAGGGGGCAACCGAATGACTGATAGAACAATTTTAGCAATAGGCGATTGGACTAATTTTTTGTTATTTCTTAAATAGAATCATCACTCAGATACCTTTAAATTCCATATTTTTTCAGAATTTTTCAGTCGATTTTACAGTGCTCAAATCATCAATAATGCCACGGTAATTTTCAAACGGCTAAAAATTTACCGCGAGTAAATACTGACCCTACGATTTCTTAAGTAGGAGCAGAGTAGCCATATGTTGAAATACGACTGGGAACTTCAGAAATATTAGTTATTTAAATCATTCATAAATTCTCAATTGAATATTGGTAATATTCCTAGAGAGAGAGAGAGAGAACATCTTAATTAGGGATATACCCCAAAAGGCCATTGACCGAAGTCTTTCAGCCCAGTTTACAATTATAATATATAAAGTATGAATATTAATAATGATAGTAATAATAGTTTAATGAGAAAAAAAAAAAGATGCTAATTGCTTTCTTGCTATCCTGTTTGCTGCATCTGGATCAGTCCTTGAAAAATGGTTATTTCTGGAAATTTTCTTTTTCTTGTGTAGTTTTCCGGCATCCCAATAACTTGTGGACTCATCACTGGGATATTGTAGGCGGACTTCGCGAATTTTGTGCTGAGTCTGTGTAGTCGTTGGAGGATGGGTTCTACTTTAGTGGAATTGTATAGTAGGGTATTGGAAGGGTTATGTAAGGGATTATTAGGATGTCGGATTTTAGTTATAGCTCTTAAACAACTTCTTTCTGCAACTTCAATGTGCGTTAGGGTAGTTTTTCTGCATGTGCTGAACAAGATGTAGCTGTATTCAATAAGAGGTCGACATATGGCTTTGTATATTGATGTAGCTGTTGCTGTCTTTATACCCTGGGTCTTGTAAGTCAAGCCACGAAAATGTTTGGCTCTTCCGATTGCTTTCTTCTTGACGGCTATTAGATGTTTCTGGAACTTGAGCTTATTGTCTATTAATACTCCAAGATATCTAGTTTCTGCTACTGGTTTTACGGTCTCATTCAGGATATCGATGGTCGGAGAATTGTCCTTTATTTTATGGTGGAAAATCATAAGTTTACACTTCTTCGGATTAGGTAATAGTCTCCAGCCGCAAAACCAATCCGTCAGCGCTGCAACCACAGTCTGGATATTCCTAATTATCTATAAAAATTCAATTGTATCAGAATGTCCCCTTATGATTTGTGGCTTATTGCTTATAATGAATTTGTATAAATAATAATCATATTAATTCACACTAGAAGACATTTGAACCGTTAAAGGCTCGGGTAAACGTGTCAACACGGCTCGAAAAAGTTAAGAATCAACTATAATCTTGAGTTTCTCCTATTATGTTTTATTCAACTCGTAACATCCTTTCAATCACTTGATTATAATTGGTGACTTGGCAACCTTGCTTCTTGGATGGGAATGACAGATTATCTGACCAACAACGAAACAGCATGAAAACTGTCGTCACCATTTATTCGACGTATCGCCAAATGGCGGCCATGACGGTACGTTTGAAATGAGCTCATAAATTCAACAATTTTGAACAATGTGTACCCATTATTTACATAAAAAAAGCATGAAAAGTGTTGCAAAAATCAATTTGGGTCCCTAACGACACAGTGGAACAATTGAATGCCAATTATTCATGATTAAGCCACTCGCCCATTCAGAAGTAGAGAGAAATCATTTCCATCATTTATTTTAGGGGTAATCTGTATTATAATAGATACCAATCATAAATTACCTCAAAGTGGTTACTAAGAAAGCTTTCTCAATGGCATAATTATTGCATACAATATATGGGTATAATATTAATAGATTAAAAACAACTTGGACAAAAACAATTTAATACCAAAATACCCATAGGTAGTGATTATGAAGATTGAACATGGTCTCAAACATAATGATGAAGCACACATTTGCTGTCATTAAATCACTTTTGAATTTGGAAAGAGTTGTACCTGTTATCTCCATGCTTTTGACATTCTGATTGTATGACCAATAAGAGAATGAATATCAAAGTTGAAAACAATAACAGACCCAGTCAACACTGACCATACGTCTACATCTCAGGGATATCAGAATCATGTCGTTTGTTAACATAACTGTGATCTCATACTACGACAGCATTTAAATCTCGTAAGTCAACAATAGCTAGATTTGGATATCTCTGCGATATCACATAAAGAAATGTCTTCGATATCTTTGTCATATTATAATACCACTTTGATATCAGTCTGAGACATCCCTTAGGTATCAGAATCCTTAATTTGAAATCGCTACGCTTGTTTCACGAGACATGGGTAATTTCTGCCATTTATATGCAGTGTTGTCCCACCACAGGTGGATGCAGGTCCTTTTCTTTCCACATTTGCTACGCCACTGATGAAATTGAGCACATTATAAATTCTTTATATTTCTGGTTCAATTGTTTTGTTGTGAAAGCTCCATTGAGTTCAATAAAAATCATGAAACACCTTAACTTGCCAAAAGATCTTTTGCTTTTTCAAGCACCTATGCCACAGATCACCCAACTATCCAGATGCGGAAGATTTGATACCGACTTTGATGTTTCATAGCTCGAAATTCTTTACCTTGAATAACACCATCGTATACACGGGGAATTGTTTATTTCACCCTTCGATTACAACGACTGCACTATTTCTTTGTTTTTTGATTCAATAACTCAGTGGAGGTTTGAGTAATTAACTCATTCACAAATTCAATTTTCTCACATGTGGTGTCAAAAAAACAGTTGCATAGTAGGAACTTGAAAGAGGCCTACGTTAATCACCCTGTACAAACAGCATTCTTAAATTGGATATTTAGTTTCAATCTTTCCCTGAACATGATAACATGGTTAACGAAACACGTGCCAGGCGTTAAAAATCAGTTTGATTAATGGTAAAATAGTGTAACCTTTCTTTAAAGATTTGACACTGCAGCCTTTGAGTGCATTACAATGCTCCCAAAGGCAGATTTCTTCCGATGCACCAGCGCGGGGCATTCAGCAAGTATGTGCGATGATATCATCGTCTTTGACCCCTATGAACTCCATGTTTTGGTTAGGAGCCCAACTACCATCTTGAGATCGCTTCTGTCAAGTGACAGGTCCTCTCTCGTGAGCAGTATGAGCAGTATTGAAGGTTTCTTTATATGGAGCTTTGATTGTCTCATTCATGGTGTTTCCCGCCATGTTTCAAAGAACTTCCTCACTAGCGATTCCTTCATGAAGGACATAGCCACGCTATTGGGTATTCCCAGTATAGGTTCTGGTCCAATGAGAGTCGATCCTGTCTGCCTCTTCGTTTTCAGGGATACCAGAGTATTCTGGGACCCACATGAGGCTGACTTTCCTAGTTTTTTTTTTCATATTGTCGAAGGCTCTTCAACACCAATTTAGTTGGATTGGATTGAATCTCAATGTCATAATAGCAGCTTTGCTGTCCGAGCATATGGTTATTGTTCCACTACCTCTTCGGCCGAGTTTTTCTTGGACCCATGTCCTGCACCAGACCCTCCCCCAAACCTTGAGCCATCCGTGAACCAAGTTGACCCATTGGCAGGAAGCAAATCTGGCGTATCGCCAATACATTCCTCTCTTGAAGGAATAATGACATGCGGAGCTATATTGAAATCCAGAACTGGCAGAGTGCTATTCCTTTCCATCAGCAGTATGGAACAGCTTTCTTTTGCCATATTACGGAATGTCCCTAGACTGCCTTTTCGATCCATTGGTTTGCACTTTTGTGTATCTAGGCTTCATGTTCTACAATCATATGCAGAGGGGGCAGACCTGGTAGGATCACGAGAGATAGTAGGCGCCGTTCTCTAAGTACGTATCCTTTCTAAGCAAGCCAGTCGTTCAACTCCAGTTCATATCTGGTTTTGCTTTTTTTAGTACTGGCCCACCATACGATGGACCGGTACGTTAATGTCGGGCGAATAATATCCGTATATATCCAGTAAAGGGTCTTGGGTGATAGGCCCCACGTTTTTTCGAAGGTTCTTCTGCTCAGTAGTAACATATAGCCTTATTGGTGCGATTACCTATATGGTAATTTCAGGTCTGCTTGGAGTCGATTGTTACTCCCACATATTTGGATGAGTATTTGTATTGGAGACACCTTCCTGAGAGAAACACCTTTTGAAGTGATCTTGTTTTGCTTTTTTGTTGAATAGCACCAAGTCCGCTTTTTCTGGATTCGCTCTTAGCCCACCAAAGGTGCACCGCTCTTTCACTTTTCTGAGAGATTTCATTATAGAGTTTCCTAGGTGATTCACCGGTTGGTGTTGAGCAATAACAACTGAGTCATCTGCATATGCTTGCGCATATATCCCTGACCCATTAAGTGTTGTGATTACATCATCGATCTCCAGGCACCATAAGGGCGGTGATAATACCCCACCTTGAGAACACCCTCTCGATACTCTGACGGTCACAGAACTTAGGTTAGTTCCATGCCTCTCCGCAGCAAAGCAGATGGACTCAAATCACGTATTGTCAAATGCTCCTTCTATGTCTAAGAAGACCCCCATTGCTGATCGTCCACAAGCTAGTACTCTCTTCACCCTTCGAATAAGGTGATGGAGAGCTGCGTCTGTGGACTCGCCAGTTTGGTAGTCAAATTGGCAACGGCTCTTCTGTGATGTGTCGATCTATCAGCCTTCCCAACGTCTTCAAGAGGAGGACGCCAGACTGATTGGTCGATACGCTTTGGCCTGGGAATTATCAGTTTTGGGATGACAACGATCCTGATCGATCTCCATTCCACTGTTATGTAGCCCAGAGCCAGTCAGAATCGAAGTATTTTTAGAAGCAGATGTATAATGGCATCCACTCCCTCTTGGAGGAGGGCTGGAAATATACCATCTTTATGGTCCCTGTTACTTTCTCATATGTAACCACCCTTGAGACCGTTTTGCAATCCATGTGAGTTCTCCTCACTGGATTCGTCCTCATAGGTGGTTTATTGCTAAGTTCTGAGTCGGGTAAGTATGTGGATATTAGGTGTTGTAGTGTCTCTTCTGCCGATGTGGTTCTACTTCCATCGGGCAAGGACATAACACCCGCACCTTGGCCCTTTTTTCTTCGATAAAACTTAACAGTTTTGCTGCTGCCGGTATTGTTTTGATATCCTCGCAGTTGGCACGCCAACTGTCCCTCCGTGATTGTCCGATGACTTTCTTGTACGTTTTTTTGTGCCGACTTGTATTCTTTCCAATGTTGTGGTACTTCGGTACTCTTCGCCTTGTTCAGAAGCTTCTTTGTATACCTCACATTAACTGATGAGTTTATAGTTTTTAGTTGCCTTTCTGACATTTATGCTGTTATGTGTATACAACTTGTCCCGTTTTCGCAGCGGTTTCACAGAGCCCTTAGAATGTGATATCTTTTCCACTGATGAAATAAGCAAAAATGATTTCTTCTACTAGTTACTCTGAGGGCATACTCAATAAATTTGTCTGCCTAATATTCGAGCTGTCAATTAATCTTTCATGTATGAAGGAGTGGAATTGGAAGAAGATATCTAGCCAATGGGCGAGTGGACTGATAATGAATTATTGGCATTCAGTTATTCCACTGTGTCGTTGGTGACCTAAACTAATTTTTGAAACACCTCTCACGCTTTTTTTATGTAAATAATGAGTCTATGCGTTGTTCAAAATCGTTGAATTTCAGAGCCCATTTCAAACGTATCGCCGTGACCGCCAGTTGTCAAGTCATCAATTATAATCAAGTTATCAAAAAGACGAAAGAGTCCTGTCGTTGAATGACATAATATAATAAGAGGAACCCATGATGTTATAGTTCATTCTTGACTGGCAACATTGTGCTGAATGATGAGTACTGACAAGACACCGCCCCCAAATAGTGCTCTGTGTTGTCACGTTTACCAGTCCCAATTTCCTTTAGTGTGAATTAATATAATTATCATTTACAAAATATTATAAACAACCATCTACAACACATGAGGAAACATTTTGAGATAGTTGATATTTTATTGCTGATTAGGAATATTACCAATACATAATTGAGAATCTTTGAATTATTGAATAACTAATATTACTGAAGTTCCCAATCGTATTTCAACATATGGCAACTGTACTATGGTCTGCCCCTACTTACGAAATCGTGACGTCAGTTTTTACTAGCGGTAAATTTCTAGCCGTGAAACATACCGTGGCATTTTTGATGATTTTAGCACCTTAAAATCGTCCGAAAAGTTAAAAAAATATATCAAATTGAAAGGTATTTGATTGATGATTCTGTTTAAGAAATAAAGAAAGTTGTCCACTCGCCTAACCTCGTCTCTTTTACTCATTTCAGTTTATTGGAAGAAGACGAGAGTCAACTCTATCTAAGAGTACTGGCATTACTTAGAGAATACTGCATATTCGCTCAGTGGAACTACAGCAAATGTGATAAGGATCATGCAATCACTAGTAAGTGTTTTTTCATCATTGTTAAAATGTATTCAATTTTTCTCCACGTGATATTTGTTTAATTTTGAAATTAACCAACCACTAGCACATTGCCATCTTACATAGAAAGAGAAGTAAGATTATACTTTAGGTGCATATACTAACTATTAATAGTACATAAGTTCCTCAATTGTTTAGTTTCAGAGATACAGGGTGTTGAAGTTGAAAATTAGAAATAATTGCTGAATCATTTTTATTCTATCGGCAAGTACAGGGTGATTCGCCATGAATGTCCCCCCCCTCTAGCTCAGTTATTTTTGAACCGATCGCAAAACTTTAAATATCATCTCAAATGATTTTCGATATAGTTTTTTTCAGAAAATACAAGGTGCTCGTAACAAACGATCTACAGGGTACTATTTGATTTTTTCAAATGAAACACCCTATTTTTCATTGTATTTTTAGATTCTCCCTGAAGAGCTGATTTCATCAATGCATCACACTTGGGGTCTAGCGAAAATGATTACAGAGCTAGACGGGGGGACATTAATGGTGAATCACCCTGGACACTTATTTCTAGAAAATAATAATATGACGTTCATCACGATGAGAAAAGGCACAGATAATTTTCTAGATTTTTGTTTTCCTCTAGATTACTTATCAAAAATTTTTCAAAGAAATTATCCCCTTAAAACAGGAAGGAAAATCAACAGCGTTACTGACGTCACAGAAGTACTATAGCGCGCCGACCGCCGACGTCTGATAACCTCAAAATTACGTGATTTTTATTACTACTACTACTGCTGAATAGGACGTCAATTTGACGTCCTGATTGTGTCGTCACTTTCACCTAGAAATTACGTTATTTTGACGTACAAAATCTCTTGAGGAAGTTTCCTTCAGATGAATGTCCATAAAATAAGTTCGGAACTCCTCAGTCTTATGTCCACGCTGTATGGAATGGCGATCGATTAAGTCCAAGTCTATCTATTTTAAAAATAAAGCGATTTCTAATTTTCGGGGCGGTGAACTGGGATGTACATTTTGTTGCTGTTTGTTGTTCTAGCGAATAGCTAACGAATAAAAAATGTATACAAAAATAAAAGAAGAAGATGAAGAAAACTTGGCGTCTTGTTGATTATATATCAACTATCAAATATAATTTCATGAAGCATTGGTTCTTTCACTTTTTTTTAACTAGACGACCTTCGATGTCCAATTCTCAGTAGCAGACCTCTGCAAGATTCAATTAATCACATGATAATCCATTTTAATTTCAATCGTCTTATGCAACATTTTGACTGTTGAATAGACGATCGGTAGACCTTTCAATTAAGGTGTCACATGACCCCTATTTGTATTTGAAAAAATCGTCCATTACGTCTTTACTCCAACACCGGTGACGTAACATATCTCATATGAATATCATGAGATGAGGCTTCAGAAATTAAAACTCACGTGTTTTTGGAATTTTTTCAAATGTCGCCCATTTCTGAAATAATGAATTTATTCCATACATTTGCATCATACTGTATATAAGCGTAAAATTCAGACAGTACCAGGAATCAGAAGAAGGCATTAAATCGTTCTGGCTGGCTAAATATGGAGAACAGGAGAATTCTACACGCTTTATCATAAAATTATTTCAAGTAAAACGCAATCATACTTATACAGAAACATAACATAGGTACTGACATTCATAATCTAAATATAATATTGAAAAATATTTTGACGCCGCCAATATTCAATACCGTATTCTGCAAGAAATCATTCAGCTTTCCTTTCACATATGCAAAAACTATAAGCTTATTCCAAAGGAAATCAAATCATTAAACACCTCCAGATTCAAGATGGAACTAAATACAGTTTTGTTGAATTACCATTAATAATTATCGAGCAGATAAGATAGTAGTGTTGATCGGACATATACTACCTTCATGAATTTCTTTTTTTCTCCCTTTCCCCTTTCACATACTGTTTTCATTATTCTTCAATTTTTTCCCTGCTAAATGAAAACTGAACTTCGCCTTTTATTTTGCTTAAACAATTATGAATACAAATTGTCAATTTTTGTTAATTGAATATAACAACTTACTAACAAAAGAACTATAAACTGTTCTACAGTAGATATAGGATAATGAATAACTGGAGATCGAAAATCGACTGAAGTCAGACTGGTGAACAAAAACATACATGACCACAAAATCAGATCAGCTCTCGGTGTGCCTGTCAGTATTGTGTGTGGTGTTGACATTCTTGAAGTATTATTTGCTGTCGCACAAGATATAATTTGCAACTTTCCTAGAAAATAGCTCCGTTTTATAAAGGAACGAATTCATTTAAAAAAAAATTACTGACAAGTTATGATTATCGTTTAGTAATTTACCAAAAGTGAAAAATTATAGATACTATTGCAAAATATAACTTATCTTTATTAGTAATGAACTTCATCCAGCAAATTAAATGAGAGATTAATAAAAATTATTCATAATACTCCGCGAAGTAGGATTAAAATATTAATGATTCTGGCAAAGTAATACTGACACAGGGAATCGTATTTTAATTCTGTGTAAATGTGGCTTTCTGAAGTAAAAGAAAAAATACGTATACAATATTAAATTTTTACACACTTCACAGTGAGATGAAAGTATATTAAACTTCCCCATAATGAAATTGTCATAATTTAAAAAAATAAATTCATAATCCATCATAACTACATAATGAGTTCTAATCAACCGTCTACGCCTTCATAATTAACTGTATTTTGTGCAGGGTAGGCCAATAGGAACTTTCCACTCCAATTTTTAGGATTCAAAATCAAAATTTGGAAAACGCTCGAACACGTCGATTTTTGAATTTGAGGCGCAACTAATTTTCAGCTTTCTTCCTCCCGATAGCTTTAGCCCTGTAGCTGGAGGGTGAGCAACCCCTCAAAATTTGAATAGGGGAAAGGGGTCGTGCCTTCACTCTTTTTAAATTCTCAATCAAAGACCCTGTATCGCCTTATTGTTTTCATCGACAACAAAATGAAGGCTTATCAAAATTTCAGAAATGGACAGTATTTAATGCCCCTAAAGCTGCACCAGCCTTCATGGCACACGCAAAAATAAACTATTTCAGAATTTTGTACACATTTATTACAAATTTGCGTCCCAATCGAAAATTTTTTACTGTCCCCGTATTTCTGGAAATCGGCGTGGGCTAGCTTTTGATTCAAGCTGCACCACACATTTTGTATTTTGAACAGATGATTCACGTATTGAAACATCCAAAATATTCATCCCCAAGTGGTTGAAAACCCCTAAATAACAAAATATTTATATTAAACATAAAAAACACCCCCAAATATCTCGAAATTCCTATTATATGTGTATCACAGCGTGTACGGTGCCTGCATTTTTCTCAAATCGATAAGAAAATTTGTTAAGTTACTGTTTTTGACAACACTCCGAAGAGGTTACTGGAAATGAAGACCGATTTTTCATATAGCGAGTCTCCACCCTACCTATTGAACTTATGAACTTATATGAACTTATATGAACTTATGATCGGATGCAATATCAGTGAATTTCAGTGAATTTGTTCAGCACAGTCAATTGATCTTGAGACGTCCTAGAATAATCTATACCATCCTACTGAATATTTCCCAAATGAAAAACTCTTCTCACTAATTGCAGGATGCGTTTTCGCAACAGATTTCCGAAAGGCATTATGACGAAAAGAGGCGACACAAACGATATTTTATTGAGTTTTAAATTTGCAACAGTATCCAACAAGCTTCTTTTTCATGTCCCTGAGTGTGCATGTACTATTTCAACTATGTGGATTGGTTATATGAAGAGTGGAAATAAATGAATTTTGTATAGGTATTATCAGGAAAAAATGAGACATGAATTATATTTCATTGTGTTTTAGATTCATTACATTATCTCACAAGCTTCAATTTCATTTCTCTAGGTGCGCATGGACTGTCTCAACTATGAGGGTTGGTAATATGAAGAGTGAGATGAGTTAATAAATTTTCGATAGACATAATGACGAAAAAAAGCATATAAACGATATTTTATTGAGTTTCGAATTTATTACTGTATCCCACAAGCTTCAATTTCACGTTTCTAGGTGCGCATGGACTGTTTCAACTATGAGGGTTAGTGATATGAAGAGTTGGATGAGTAAATACATTTTTGATAGGCATTATGACGGAAAAAATGCATAAAAACCCATCTCACTCTCCATATTATCAACCCTCATAGTGGAGACAGTCCATGCGCACCTAGAAACATAAAATTGAAGCTTGTGGGATACTGTAGTAATTTAAAACTCAATAAAATATCGTTTTTGTGCAGTTTCTCCGTCATAATGCCAATCGAAAATTTATTAACTCTTCCCACTCTTCATATTGCCAATGCTGATAGTTGAAACAGTCCATGCGCACCTAGAGACATGAAATTGAACCTTTTAGGATACTGTAATAACTTGAAACTCAATAAAATATCGTTTTTGTGCAGTTTTTCCGTCATAATGCCAATCGAAAATTTATTAACTCTTCCCACTTCATATTGCCAATGCTGATAGTTGAAACAGTCCATGCGCACCTAGAGACATGAAATGGAACCTTGTGGAGTACTGTAATAAATTCGAAACTCAATAAAAAATCGTTGTCATGCATTTTTTCCGTCATAATGATTATCGAAAATTTATTAACTCAACCCCTCCATAAACCTAACACACATTGTTTAGATAGTCCATTCGCACCTAGATACCTGAAATTGAAACTTGTGGGATACTGTAATAAATTTGAAATTCAATAAAATATCGTTTTTGTGCATTTTTTCCGTCATAATGCCAATCGAAAATTTATTAACTCATCCCACTCTTCATATTACTAATGCTGATAGTTGAAACAGTCCATGCGCACCTAGAGATGTGGAATTGAAGCTTGTGGGATACTGTAGTAATTTAAAACTCAATAAAATATCGTTTTTGTGCAGTTTTTCCGCCATAATGCCAATCGAAAATCT